CTAGGTTCAAAGTTCATAGACATTTTCCGCACCATACATCCACAATCAGTTTTATCATTCGTAAATCATTTGTTACTTTGACCTAACAAACGGTTTTGATGCCCCATTCGCTTTTACAAGCATTTTTCATAGTAGCATTCGCAATGAAACGTCCATTATTTGGTTGGAGAACTCGTAAAATAAAATGGTTCACACGGGTGCACATCACACTATACCAAACCAGTAAATCATGGTCTCATTTTGTATGATCTTTCCTACTTTCGACAGTCAATTCATACTGGTTTTGTATAGCTTGATTTAGAGCCGTGCCCAACCAATTATGTCCGCCGTTACTTAAAGTTCATGACACCCAAGTTTTTAATACGGTTCATTGCCTTCAATGTAAATAGGTGAGCTGTTTTACACCTCGACAGTTTCTTTAGTTTCTTTGATCGTTTCTCTTTTGATCTACCTGGCTTTGATAAATTACTTCTTGTTATTTATCAAAGTATTTTGTTAGAGTAAATTGATCACTGTTCAGTTACTGTTGTTGACTTTTTAGAATCTGTGGTGGATCCAATTGATGGAAACAAATCAAAGGGAAAACATTTAACAATTTACTTTTACGATTGAGCTTGTTTATATAAAAAAAAACGTCCGTAAAAGTAAATAACCTTCATTTTACACTGAGCAAACTTGGTACCTACTGAGAAGTTCTTATTTCCTATGCAGATCATAAGAAATAGGTAACCGTCTATGATTTTTGTCCTCATGTTGTCCTATAATACACAGTCATACATTCTATCAACCTTCTCGCTGACTGTCACAATGCTTTGTCTGCACGACCTTGTGTTGTTCGATGCGGGCTTCCAATACCGGAAGAATGTTCCGACAACACGGCCACAACATGGCTGCTTTACCCTTGTTGTTGCATTCACAACATAAATATTGTTTTTCTTTCAATGAAAGGCATGAATGGGCCGGCTCGACCGGAATGATACCACGGCCTCACAGAAAACCGACGTGAAGCAACGCTTGCGTTGTGTTACGTCATGTGAGTGAGGTTACCGGAGGCCCAATTACGCTCCCCTTCCCCAATCTCCTCAATTCCTGAATCCCCAACCATCCTCAAACTCCTAATCCCCAAAAGGCCGGTAACGCACTTGTAACGCCTCTGATGTTCCAAGTGTCCATGGGCGACGCTGATTGCTTACCATCAGGTGATCCGTCTGCTCGTTTACCGGCTTATGCCATAAAAAAAAAAGTTTATGTATGTTGTGTATTTTTCTAAGAGGTTTTATTAGTTTAGTCGAGGATACATTAGTAGTTGGAAAATTTCATTCTTGTGCAGCCTCTTTGTAAAAAATGATCAGTAATGATCATGATGAGAAGTTCATTCTTCTTGGAAAAAAGAACAAAATGCTAAAGATAAATGAAAAGTGACCAACTCATAAGACACTGTCAATATAATGATTTGAGACTGGAACGGTGCAACCCGTTAGAGCGAATTATTTTCTACTAGGCAATTAAACCAGCCCATCTTCCAATTCCTCGACATCCCCAATAGAATTCCCAAATGAATTTTACACACTATAAAAGTCCCAATTCAATAACCTTTGACCAGAAACCTGGCAACAGTTTCAAACAAAGGAATAAACTGTAAAGCTACACGTTATAGCATCAAATAAATAACGACACTGCTCTCAGTGTGATTGCTTACCCCAGGGAGCTAGGAACAGTAAAACAAACAGTATCCGGCGCCATATTTCATTGCGACGATGCAGTTGTGACTCATACAATCCGAAGATGAATGCGCGCGCTTTTTGAATTTAGAATGTCATTTTTTATTGATGTGTAGTTTAGAATTTCACATTTTTTTTAATGTTTGGGTTGTTGCCTTTTGAGCTATGTCTTGTATAAAATATGTAGATGATTGAAATACTATATTATTTAGCTTAGACGTAAATAAATACGTACTTTGCATTGAGAGGATTTAAAAATTGTCTTTGTGCTTCTTACATATTTAGATATAAATGTAGCATTCAACTCGTTTGCAAAATAAAACGCATACTTTAGTACAAAGATACAAATATAAGTAAGAATAAAAGTTTTATTTTTGCTCTTATAAAACTGCATCGAAGAACAAAGAATAGATACGTTTGCTCTCTATAAAATTGCTTTCCCCGGCATTAAGATGTAAACAGTTTTTCCTGGCGCACTGAGTCTGCAATGTTGCAACCATGACTCATAGTTACCATGTAAGCTAGAACAGACAAGCAATTACTAAACGTACCGACTGACTGCACTTTTATTTCACACAAACATGTTTTGACGCTGCGCTACTGGAAGCGACAAAGCGAAAACATTAGATCGATAAGTTTGTAGGGAAGTAGGTACCTACACATTTTATTTATTAAAGAAGTTCACTTTGATAACCTTTGTGATCGTTGAAATTGAGATGTTTGAAATATTTATAATGAAAATATTTTTATATAATGCTGCAATATAGCATAACATATTATAATATCACGCCTTTTTATCCTCGAAGCGGTAGACAGAGGTGCACACTGAAGTAACATCCACTTTTCATTATTTATGTTATGAGTCCCATGTGAGCGTATTGCGGGCACATTTCAAGACCCCGTGCTACTACTGAGATTTTTTTTAAAACCCCGTCGTACTTTACCCGACCCGGGAATCGAACCCGAGACCCCTTGCCCGGCAAACGCACTTGCGACCACTCGGCCAACGAGGTAGTAAATATGGATAGCAAAAATAATTATTACATGAATTTTAAATAAGGACAAATTTTTATCTTCCCGTTTCGAACCTCAAGATGGAATTTCTTGTCCATTTTTCCATTAAGAATTTAAACCTTATGTAACCCAACTTCATTTCCATGACAGACCAACTTACAAACATCTAACCACTAAATTACGTTAACCAGGAACTGTATTTTGGCACACAGTACTTGCAGCCAAGCTGTGACTCATATGAATGCCTTCAAAGCCTTGCAGCTTGAGTAAAATAACCTCTTTGCAGAAGACGGCTCCAACGAGCTTGACTCATACGATATTTGATTTTATGACTGAGGTTTATGATGCTAGGGGAAGTATATTAAATTAAGCATTGTGGGGCTGACTTTCATACGACTGTTTGATGCCCTATTGTGGCTGCAGTTATTTGTTATTGGGGCATTTTAGGGGGTACTTACTTAATTTATTTATTGGAGATGAGATCTTATTGGCTTTAATATAGTTATTGTGATGATTCAATACGTCATTGAAAGGTTAGGTATCTATTACCGTTTTTACCAGCCTTTCCTATGATTTAAGGAACCCCTAAGCTAAGGTAGGTGATGTTTAACGGTATTTTGGTTTTCCGCAATTTATAAGTGACACCTAACTGTACAAGTAAGGGGTTAGTTTAGGTGCTGCGTCATGCTTAATAACTTTTAGTTAAGACATGGTTTAGGGGTGGTCGGTACAAACAACTATGAGTATATTTGTTGACTTCTTAAACTGTCAAACACCAAGCGGTCACCGGTGACCGCGACCTATTGTTCTTTAATTGTGTCTATAAATACGGTACTCGACGAGTTAACTATCCTTTTAGTGCCGTATTAGAATAGGCTGTCTATTCTACTCTATTCTATTATTTTAGTTTATCTATAGTCCATCTAACTTGATTTAGATAAGGTAAGTATCCAAACTCTATCAAGTTAATGACTAAGCCATTTCCCTTTAACTTCACGAGTCAGTGGATCCAACTTAAGTGATCCTAAGTTAGGACTAAGTGAATAGATAGGCGGTATCACAACTTTAAGTAGCTTCCGAATTTACGTTCAATCTATTCCTAACATTGCCTAAGTTATTTAAACTTAAGTCAACAGAATAAAGTTCTTCTTCGTTTGTTTTGTTCTGAAGTTTTGATGTCTAGGATTAGGATTAGAATTTATTTTCAAAAATGAATAGAATGTTTATCCAATGTCTAAGCTAAGAGATAATTTTGTATATTTATCTGAATATTAACAATCAGGTGATAATGTGTGGTAAGGAACCCAGTGTTTTGACTTCTTTTAACTCTTTAAGTACCGTCATTATAAACACAATTAAAGAACAATAGGTGGCGGTCACCGGTGACCTCGCGATGTTTGACACTTTAACTCGTCGAGTACCGGTTTTATAGACACAATTAAAGAACAATAGGTCGCGGTCACCGGTGACCGCTTGGTGTTTGACAGATTAAACTGAGATTACCTACTAAACTGGACTAACTAGACTGCAAGACAGAGCCAAACAAGAAAGCTAAAACCACAAATACAAAAAAGCTAGCATTGAAACTTACACCCATAAATTCAAGCACTAACATTTTCAATGCGACTCTGTACGACTCCTTGCAAAGAACGGCGCCGCGGCGACGTCGACGGTCGATACGTCGCGACGCTTTGGCCACTCACATTCTCGCAAAGCATACTACTGACGCCCAATGTATGACTGTACGTAGTTATTACGTTCTAGACCGGAGTGTCTCATCTAGTTTTGTATAGAGCTACGTAATGAGGGCTGGAAAGACAACTTTGCAACCTTGTTCAATTAATGATCTTGTTATTCTACGAATGAATTTAACCCTTTGAGTACCGTCATTATAGACACAATTAAAGAACAATAGGTTGCGGTCACCGGTGTCCTCGCGGTGTTTGACAGTTTAAGGGTCTAATTAATGATCTTTGAAATTTGACTGCACGGCTGGTGCAATGGCTGGGCAACCGGTTGCCGTGCAGCGTGCCTGGGTTCCGATTCCTGCACGGAACAATACTTTGTGTGATCCACAAATTGTTATTTCTAGTCTGGGTGTATGTAAATTTGTATGTTTGTAAACGCATCCACGATACAGGAGAAAGTCCTACAGTGGAGCAATGTTTAATAAAAATAATTATGTTGAATTTACATTCTCTAACACATTCATGTTTTTTTTATAATATAACCCATAAATAAGTATGTGTTTTTGTTTTGTTACAGTGATCACAAACCCGAAGGCACCTCCTGGCAGCAAAGATGGCGCGAAAAGCTTCAATTTTGATTTCTCATACTGGTCTCATAATGTAAGTACCTAATGCATAATAATATATAATGTTATGTAATCCTCAAGCATGTTGTTAAAGACTGCTATCATAAATACGTCCTTTTAATCACATAAAAAGCCTAAGAAAATAACCAATTAACTATATGGGTTTTCCTCTATACATATATGTATATAGTAGTGTTTTGCCATTATGTCAACACTTGCCGGTTAGAGATCATAGTCTAAAAGGATGGACAGAACGCGCTTATGATATTTCGGAAACAAAACGTACCATAGTACAAAATATTTCATCAGTCTAACTCGCTAAAACTATATTAAATTCAATCAATAAAAGATAAACAAACATAGCATAGGTAAATCAAATCGATTTAGCATACAATATTTACATGGAACACGTACAAATGGATGCTATTGGCGTTCGATCGATAGTAAGTGGATAGCCTCAGCGCAATCCCCTTTATCCATCCATAGGAGTAGGAGATCCGATGCCTCATTTAATCAAAGTCTGAGAGCTGAAGCTAAGCCATACCGATGGAGTTTTATTTACTAAATGGACAGGTATATAGGGGAAAAATATGTTTGTGTTTATTTATCTGATGCAATGACTGATGTAATCGTGATGAAGTAGAAGAACTCAAGTTAGTTTCCGCCATTTTTTATTGATTTTGTAAAAGAAAGCACTTTTAATTACATGGAATCTAAGATATTCTAGAATTACATAAATTACAATTAATGAAATACAAATTATGTTTTAAAATCGTAAAATTTGCTGATATTTTTTGTTTATCTAATGGTTTTTAATTCAACAAATATCTGAATTACATAAAGAAGGAATTTAATATAAATTTGTTCTTAACCCACCGTCGCCCTAGTAATACTTTCATTCGATTGTCAAGCTACCCTCAAAGACATACAAATTTTACTAAGCCATCAATCGAATCGTCAAGTAATCAATTCGTAACCGTACCGTAAAATATTTCAGAAACATTATGTGATTGTGAATCGATATTAACCTTGATTTCCTTTCGATTACTATCTCGGAAGCCGTCAAATTACTATTAGTGGTGTAGTTAAGGATTCGATTACCCACGCAGCCGAATAATCGATCGTTAGTTTTGTTTATTTTTTTGTCTCTGATATTATTGTTAGTGGAAAGTCCTATAGGAATGGTGGATGTTTCTGTTTTAAAATTCGTTGTTGATCTGAATTAAATCCTATGATTTTATATTACATTTAAAGTATTTGATTTTCTGTGGGTCTTAAAAAAATTGTAGTAGTATGTTCATTGTTAAAGTAGCATTCAGATATGTCACTGATGAGGATAAAGAGATCTTTTGTCGAAAATGGTGAGCTCAATTCGATATGACTTATGTCAAATCTTTTTTTCTTCTTCTTTTCTTATAAGGCTAATGCGCTTTTGCGCTTCGAACGATCAATGATACCTTCTTCTTCTTATAGTGCCTCTTCAATGTTGAAGGTCGGCCGTCAACTTCTTGTATTTCTCCTTGTCGGTAGCCATGCCTGTTATAAGGTATCATTAATAATAAGGTAAGTATTATTAATGATACCTTATAACAGGTCAATAATTTGGCAACACACGTTCGTAATTTGAATAATCGTAACATACTAATCATACATTTTGTATTTAGCGTTATCCCTGATGCTGCTATAGTGTCATAAATACCAACTATAATATTTATTATTATAGGTATTGCCCTCATCATCACTAATCGGCCAGTTTCGATATTATGGCGGGCTATTGTCCGTTGATATTAGTTCGTATGAGTTTGGACGGCGGCCATATTGGATACAGGGATATCGTTATGGGATTATTTTAGTCTATTGGTTAGGATTTTGGGATTATAAAATATTATTATTATGATTTTTTCGGTTCTTTTTTTGATTTAGTCGAGTTTAATCTTTGAGTGGATGCGTCAGCTAGATTATTGAATATAGTGGGTACTATAGTAGGTAGTTGAAGTGAAAAATAACAAAAATATGGGTATTGTATGCATACAAGACCATCATTTCAGTAAACAAACAAGAGCCAAAGCAATTAAAGGCACATCAACAATTTGTGTGCCAATAGCATCGACCACAGACCGCAGCAACCACATCCATTTGATCACACGGAGATTGCTCTGTGATGATTAATTTATGTCCATTCTAGGCCGGAGCTGTTGGCTCTGTGGTCCATTTCATGTCGGCGTGGCCCGTATTTGCAATTATGAGGTTATGGGGTTTCCAAATGTGTATCTGTGTTGATTATAATACAGTTTTCTTTTCAATATACATGGTTATTGATTCGCCTACTACGTAAGGCTTGGTAGAGGTAGTCTATTAAAATGCAGGTGAGAAAGGGGCTCATAGATATATAGTATAAAGTATAAAAAAAGTATCCGTAGTGCTTTGGAGCCTAAATTAATAATCGAACTCTTTGGATGTACTATCGAACCGTACCGTCACTTTTATCTGTCCGTCACATATTCGATAGTGTGTACAGAGGTCCGTCGCACATTTTCAATGGATGGCCTGGAAAATGCAATGAAATTCTCTGGACCGCCGAATTGAAATTGACAGTACGGTAACGCTTCGGTTCGATCGTCTATTTGTGCATTAATGGATGACGTTAGTTAGATTAATTTGTATGGTGGACAGCAAATGGCGATAAGGATAAATCTATACTATCCACATGAGCATATAAATGATGAATGGTACTATTTTCACGATAAAAGCTCGTCTTATCTTATCATCAATGTTCAGATTGCATAACATTTACACGTGAAACATGCGTAATTTGACATTTTGGCGTAAAATATTCGACAAACAAATATGCAATCTTCTATAGAAGTATTTATATCGATTCGAATCAAATCGTTCGCTATATTATCTATATATATAGCTATAGATAGTATATAGCGAACGATTATTGTATGTAGTGTTAGTATAGCTATTAACAATCTCTGTTCTTTCTTTTATTACGCATTGTCGAGTTAAAAGATTCAATTTGAACCAACAAAACTTAGAGACAAAAGAATTGTTTTGTGAACCTGATGAAATTTATTAAATGATATAATTTTAAAGAGTAACCTATGGAGTTTCTTGCTCGTTTTTCTACATAGGAATCTAAACCTCGGAATGAGAAAATAACTTCACTTTAAAAAAAATTATTGATGTTCAAAAGTCTCCTCCGTTGTCTAATTGATAGGTATAAATGATTTTGAGTTTTGACAATAGTTACTATTGGTATGGTGATAATAAAATTAAACAATCTATTTACTAAAAATTACTTGGCGTAAGTGAGCAAGTCATAAACTAAGCCCCTGTACTGTTAGGTGTCACTTAGGTTGGTGAAAACCAAAATTTCGTTTAGAGTCACCTATCTAAACACTTAAAGAAACCCTTAAGGTTAATATTTAGGAGAAGTTTGTGAAAACGGCCATTTTAGTGTTATTTCATCTTCTCATTCGTTTAAGACTTGAAGATATAATCTATTTCCATAACATCATGTGGTAGACGTGTTTGCAGCTATTAAGCTCCAACACTGTCAACTCACCTAAAATCCAATTTAGAATCAAAATAAAACTCTGCTTTTTCTCATACATAAAGCAAATAGCACTTTACTTCATTTGCAATTGTAACGAAGTTTAGCGTGGGTATCTGTAATTCATACAAATGTATGCGTCTGCGATTTTAGTCTGTCAGATGTTACTTAGTCTAGTCTGTTTATGTAACTCAAGAAAGAAAGGTATTTCAAATAATATGGTTAAACTGTCAAACACCAAGCGGTCACCGGTGACCGCGACCTATTGTTCTTTAATTGTGTCTATAAAACCGGTACTCGACGAGTTAAATAACTAGTTTAACCTTAAATTTTAGCAATACCTTTAAATATGTGACAATTCTTTCACACTAATAACTGTCAACTGTCAATTTTATCCTATACTAATTACTGATGATTAAAATTGGACTTTCCCGACACTGGCAGTATAGTCGACAACATCGTATTGGAGACTCGGTTGCCAAAGAAGAAAGAAAAAAAAATTGGACTTTAGTGTGTCAAAAATGATTCGATTTAAATTATACATTATTATTTTGGTTACCGTTTTTTTTTAATTCTACGGTTAGGGTAGGTTATCACGACTATAAAGGATACAGCCTTATACTTTTTACGGTTTAAAAAAAAGTAGGTTACTTACACTTATGTTTAACTTTATGTATTTTTTCACTGGTGGTGTAACTCTTGGTGCTATATTTATGCCACAATGTCATTGACCTTTGCCCTCTATAACATGACTAATACCTGCTTAACGTAATTAACAAAATGTGGTTGAACTGTAGGAAAATGTTAGTTACTAATATTATATTAATACACCAATGCGTTACTAATTTGAAATTTTTATATTATTTATCGAGAGAGGAACAACAAACAGTTCCAATATACATGTTGTAATATAGGAAAAAATGCAAAAAGTAGGTTAACAATATCACATCCCACTACATTATTCGCATATTAACAGTGAAATTGAAACAGAGAATTAGACTGACTAGGTACCGAGAGACGAGCACGCAATTCCCAATTTTTTTAGAAACTGTGATCACTTGTTTCTGTTTGGCAAAAAGGAGGCCTAACTCCTCCCCTCTTCAAGGTTGAAGGAGTCCTCTTCAGGATTGAGAATTGGGGATTGAGGAGATCCCAATCCCCGATCCCCAATTCTCAAATCCCTAACCCACCGAAAGGCCGGCGATGCACTTTTCATTCCTTTGGTGCGGTCCATGGGCATGGCTGGCGGCGATTACGTGATTATCTGGTGATTTTTCGGCTTTCCTTTACCGGCTTATTCTATGAAAAAAGACCCTAAGAAGTAGGCATTTATTCAGTATTAAATGATGAGGATTGTTGCTGCGATAAAATATGAACCTTTCTATTTTTGTTGCAGCCAAATGATCCAGAATTTTCATCCCAAGTCATGGTGTACAAAGACATCGGAGAAGAGATGTTGCAACATGCTTTCGACGGTAATCATCACATATTACACTTTCTTACTTTCACTTGCAGTAAATTGCGCTTTCTTTTCGCGAATTGCCGTATCTACGCTCAAATCGGAGCGTACTCATATTTTTGGATCTTTGTTCTCGTGATCCACTTTTATTTAAGTAAATTCAAGTTTTTTATTGATGTTTCTATATAAGTCGTGTTACAATAACATCAAATATAATAATGTTAGTAAACTATCATTAATATAAGCATTCGTTAAAGTTTGTTAGGAACAATAAATACTGTCCTTTTAAATGTCATACATCCACTTTAATCTCTCATTGCATTTGCTATCTTATCTTGAAACTACTAAAACATATTTTCCAACAGGCTACAACATATGCATATTCGCGTACGGGCAGACGGGTGCGGGCAAGTCGTACACCATGATGGGGAGCGGCAAGGACGGGCAAGAGGGCATCATCCCGCAGATCTGCAAGGATCTCTTCAGGCGCATACGACAGACCACCTCCGATGATCTTAAATATTCGGTTAGTGTGATATTTCCTTCCTCTATGTTAGTGATTTAATTGTACGTTTTATCAGAAAAGTATATTTAAATGGTTTCTAGTGATACTTGTAAAGAATTCGTATTGCTTAACATTTATACAGTACTGAATGGTCTGGTGGCATTAGTAAAATTAATAAAATGAACTTTCTGGTGTAAATAAAGAGAGAGATGTGTAGGATAAATAGGACGCAGGTTAATCGAAAGGAAAGTTATCGACATTATTTCAAACCCACCTACATTGTTTATTGTTTCATATACTTTATTTTCTAATAAAGTCACCCAAAACCTTCCTAAAAGAACACTAAATAACTTTCTTGTAACCAAAAATAGTTTATAGATTTCCAAGCGCCATTTTATGACGTCATCATATTTTAACAGTTCATATGAAACAGTTTCGGTGGTCAATACGTCTAGTAAAGTCTACCTCGATTCGGAGTCGTGGAGAACCTAACGGGTAACCGGGGCTCCGGCTCGACGTGCAGGAGAAGGAACGGGGTGGTTTTTAGTCAGTAAGAGTCTGACACTCCCTTCCGCCTCACCCAGGTGGGAGCAGTCATTCGATGATTTTCCCCCCTTAAAAAAAAAACCCGTCCGACGGCCATTTTTTATTTCAAACACAGATGTTCAAAACGGTCCGAAATGCGAAGTTCCACTCTGTAAAGCAATGAGAATCCACATGAATTATTCATGTTGAATCTAATTACGATATTAGCAATTCAAATCCAGTTTATTTAATGTTAATAACACTTCCGAAATATGAGAAGGAAATATCCTTTTTGGTTAATTGTGATTACAAGAAATTGTTAGCGATTGCGTTGTTAGAAATTAATAGTTTCTGCCGTGATTATGTTCAACTGTCTACGTAGTAGTCTTATAATAATAGGTGATTGGGTTTTTTGATCTAGTCAGATCAGGGCAGTCGCCAACAATAATAGTTTATTAAGTTAAAAATGGCTATACAATAATAGTTTGGACATAATTTATTAGGTAGGTCTAGGTTTTTTTATGGGATAAGACGGTAAGCAATCGGCGTCGCCCATGGACACCTGGAACCGTTACCGGCTTTAGAAATTTGAGGATTCAGGGATTGGGGTTATTGGGGCAGGGGTGGTGGTAATTGGGCCTCCAGTAACCTTACTCTCACGACGAAACACACAGTGTTGTTTCACGTCGGTTTTCTGTGAGGCCGTGGTATCACTCCGGTCGAAGCGGCTCTCTCCACTTACATTACACATTTGTTTCAAGTTCGTTTTACTTATACAACTTAAAATAAAGAATCCAATCGTGGTAAAACAAATAAATCTATAATAGGTATAGGTACGGTTACGTCAAAGTACCTCTACATTTTAGTTGCATTATCGTCAAAGCACTTTTTACCCATCCCTAATTATTCAATTTCCTCATAATAAATCAGGTGGAAGTGTCTTACATGGAGATATACTGCGAGCGAGTTCGTGATCTCCTGAACCCCAAGAACAAGGGGAACCTGAGGGTCCGTGAGCACCCAGCTCTCGGCCCCTACGTGGAGGACCTTAGCAAGCTCGCCGTGACGTCATACCAGGACATATACGACCTCATTGATGAGGGCAACAAAGCCAGGTGAGAAAAACCGCTATTTATTTTTTCTTAAACATAGATATATGATGAACAGTTTGTAGTAAAATTTTTTAGAACTAACAGAATTGTTTGAAAAATATTTATTTTCATTTGATAACTTAGATTTGTGGTAGAATTTTCTATTATTTTATAAAGTGTTTGTGATACTTTTAACTGACTTAACTATGTTAAAATATGACGTCATGAAAAGTTGATTATTACTTCTGCCTTTCGATATTGGTTAATGCAGAGTTGCTGCGTAATTTTATACTGACTTTGCACAGTGTACCAGATTTTAAAAAATCACTGTTTTTGTTAAGATTTTCTCTTAATCTCTTAATCCATATCAAACAGGACCGTGGCAGCTACCAACATGAACGAGACCTCATCCCGTTCGCACGCTGTCTTCACTATCTTCTTCACGCAGCAGAGGCATGACCAGACCACCAACCTCATGTCTGAGAAGGTAAGGTGTCAGTCTAATGTCGTAATACTCTAACGTCACTGAATTTTAAGTTGCTCGTACGTGTTCTGTCACTGCAGATTCTTTGTAATAGACAGAGACGGCACGATATTTATGTACAATTTAAAATTGAGTAGCCTTTCAGTATTCGGTGGTATCAATTAGGAACCGAAAGATCATTAAAACTCAATGGATTAAACCTTTGTGTTCATAATCTATGGCAAAAATATTAAGTTCCCCAATAAACTAAATAAATTGGTGTGAGATTTTTCTTTGCTTTTCGTTTCTAGAATTTGAATGAAAGGGTTGATGTGTTTTGATATTTCGTTAATATCATATTATGAACTGAATACAGATTTCAAGCAAGTAAATAAATGTAATTATTTAAGTGTGTAGTATACCTTCTCTATTTCGTCTTTAATAATATTAGAATATTACTGTTTGAACGGTTTTCTACATTTTCTAATACTAAATCACGCTTACTTATTGCTACAACTACATGAACAATATAATCTTAACACAAACTCCATTTCAGGTGTCAAAAATCTCGCTGGTGGACTTGGCAGGGTCTGAGCGAGCGGACTCGACTGGAGCTAAGGGTACCCGTCTCAAGGAGGGCGCGAATATCAACAAATCATTGACTACACTTGGAAAAGTCATCTCGGCACTCGCTGAAATTGTAAGTCATTGTTTTAGAATGACCTTATGACGGTAGAGTAGCTTGGTGTTAGAACCTCCTTTTGTTTAGTTGAATCTATAGTTTATTATTGGATTGGTGATATAATAATTATCAGATAAATTATCGGATATAGTTTCATTCTTTTATAAACCACGTTTGAAAACACCGACTTCAACCCGCTCTTTTTTTATTCGGTTGATTAATACACAAAAATCTATCTACTAAGTGCTCTCACTTTTCTGGAAGCCACATCAGCGGTTCAGCCATTGCGAGATAATCGCGCCCTAACATATATATAGGCTAAATTAATAGCCTCCTTTTTGTTCTTTTGAAAGCCGGTTAAAAATATCGAGATTCGTAACGGATTTCAGAAATAATGATGAAATTCTAATATTAGTTTGCAACAACTGATTTACTGACCAATTAAAGGTGAAGTGTCTGAGGAATGTATAACATTGTTAACATACCTACATAATTTTAATTGATCTAAGAAGCAGTGCTTCCCAACCTGTGGTCCGTGGACCACTAGCGGTCCGCAGATGACGAAACATGGTCCGCGAAATTGACAAAAAATACAATATAGAGGTGTTATGTTTCCAATAAATACGATGGTTAAGGCTTATATCCAAGAAGGTAACTAAGAGGATCAACTGATTTCAATAATCGAAATGTTGCTTTTTTTCTGAGAATAAACCTTACGACTCTGGAGAAAATCTTGATCCGGACCATAGTCATGAAAAAAATAATACTTAGTAGTGGTCCCTAACAAATGTTTTAAAAAAGTGGACCTTGACCAAGAAATGGTTGGGAAGCCCTGGTCTACAATGTACACTCTTGAATTATTATTATTTAGGAATTTGTGTTCCTATAGCTAAACTATGTATATAGTCATCCCTGGATTCAACTACCTCTAATATTCTCCCTAGTCTGTATCTATATAGTTATACCTAAGCTAATGGTAACTTATACTGTGTATAGTTTTAAGAGAATAATTTCCAACGGACTGCTATTTATAAAAAATAACCTAAAAAGTATTGTATTTCTTGCTATTTGCTAAATACTTGAATCAAGAGCTGTACACTAGTGACGTTTCGGTCAGAAGATTCACTTTTTGCAACTAACTTGCACTGACGTGTAATGGATTAGACCAGTGGCGTAACTACATCGTTCGGGGCCCGTGGCAAATTCATCGATGGGCCTCCGTTCTCTTTAAATAAGATAGAAGTTCAGCTGAACCTCTGAACAGAGGCTCCTTCCGGCTCGTGGCATTTTGCGGACTTGCCACTGGATTAGACCTTGGTTTTTGCTACTTCAGTGTATTTGGGCGTATTTTTATTTGTCATGAAGGTCAAAAGGTCAGAATTCTAAACTCATAAACATGGGACAGAGCAAGTTAGTTCTAAAAGTGAATAATCATAACTAAACGTTAAAGTGTACAGCACTTTATTCGTAGATGTATGCTAAATACTAACAAAAGGTTCACGTTTGTTTTACCGCACCGTTTCTCCGTGGAAATTATATTATAGTCGGTGAGTTTGGTTTTATAATAGAGATTTCAGGAGTGTGTGCACATTACCTAAAAATTTTACCCCTTTACAATTGGGCTAAATATGCTTTAGCTAAAGATCGGCGCTTTGAGCACCGAGTATCGGCCTTTTAAGCCTAAATAAAGTTAGCCAATCGGCTATTCGCTTCTCACAATTCACTTTTAAATACCTAAGAACCAATTTTTTTAAATTCATTCACTTGCAATTATTGGCTTTTTGTCCCGATTGTAATGTTCGTGTTGATGGTAAGTTTTGTGCCTTATGTGCATACGCATAAATATCCAATCCCGTATTAAGTTTCGACTACAGGCTTTATAGTGCGCTAACTTTTTTAACTTGCGCAAACGTTTTGCGCAAAATTGCGCAATGATAGCTTTGCACATTCTTACTAGAAGACATTAATTGTAGTTTTGTTGTATGTTTTGTACTTTTTATTATGTAATTTTGATTTTGCGCAAAAGCGCAAAGCGTGTAGTTGATTCTTAATATCACGCCTCGACACATGATTGCCTCAACGTGGCCTAACGCTTAAGAAGGCTTGATCTAAGTTTTTACTTAGATCTTGCGCATACATGTTGTCCGAAAAATCTGTGTTATTATTCTTAATAATGTCGCCTTTTTTGATAATAGCCTCATAGTTCAAACACTACTTACATTGTATTTGATTCTTAGTAGGAAGATATTATTAGTTGAAGTATTTAGCATCTAGAACTTTGTATTTTAATATTAGTATCTCAAAAGTTATTAGGAAATCCTTAACTAGCATTAAGACTAATAACACAGACAATTTCCGATATTCCTCCTAATATTATATTTCAACACTTAATACTAAATTCTTTTACCAGGCGTCAAAGAGTAAGAAGTCGAAGAAAGCAGACTTCATCCCGTACCGTGACTCGGTGCTGACGTGGCTACTGCGTGAGAACCTCGGTGGGAACTCCAAGACCGCCATGATAGCTGCCATCTCACCAGCTGATATTAACTTTGATGAAACTCTCAGCACATTGAGGTAAGATTTATTTCAGTACGATTTTACGAATGAACACAAGTTTATTTTGAATCTAAATGCTTTTACACATATAATATCATCACGCCTTTTACCCCCGAAGGGTTAGGTTGAGGTGCGCATTATGGCACTTAATGTCACTGTACAATGTTACATCCACTTTTCACTATTTATGTTATGAGTTCCATGTAATAGGGGTGAGTTCAATTGTGAATTCCTCATAAATGATTTAACTTCCTCTAAAATTCTAAAAACTATTGAAACGTTACCAACTACTTGTGACAGTCCACTGCGTGATTGTAAGCGTTCTCTTATTATAGAAGTCTCGATTCTGATTGAGAAAGATTGAATAGCAGTTACCTAATTGTAGAAAATCTTTTAAATGCCTGACCAACCATCCCAAGTAGAGCAACCGTTGTTTTATAACTAACAATTATTCGTACAAAGCTGTACACGTTTTATAACAATGACTATTCAACAGATACGCGGACCGTGCCAAGCAGATTGTTTGCAAGGCGGTCGTCAACGAGGACGCCAACGCCAAACTTATCCGAGAGCTCAAGGAGGAAATACTCAAACTTCGGGAACTACTCAAGGCAGAGGGCATTGAAGTCGAAGAAGGTAGGTCTCTCTTGTATGTATACGGCCTTGTAATTCCATGATGGCCGATAGATAAACTGACTGATTGGCAATTTGAACTTTATCGACTTGTATATAGAGTGTTTTGTCGAATGATACTGAATTGATGATTACGACGATTTCAGTCTGGATTAGTAAATTTGAAGACATTTTCTTTAGAAGAAAGGAAGACAATGTAAGTTGCTGTTACTATTTAGGGGTGTTAAAAGAGGTGTTTGAATGGTCTAAATTGGTGTATATGTCAGTTTATCTACCGACCTCTGCGAACGCTTATTCTCGGCCTTGTGAGTGAGTTAGGATGTTTAGATGTCTTGTGATTAATAGACAGTCTTGTGTGATTGTTTCATAGCAAACAAAGCACGCCAGTTACGATTAGCGCAACATAACCATTTAGTCTCATTCCTGATACTAAAATTTAATTCTGTTTCCAATATCCACACGAACTAGGACCAGATGGTAAAGTCCTTTATGAAAAGAAACAAGAGCCCATCAGTAAGTAACAACAATAAAGAGGCTTGCGCATTTTTGCATCTGTACACCCCACCTGTACGCTTGGCCTCCATTTTGAATCGGGGTTGCCAGACACGAAAAATAATAATAAAATAACAACATTTTTGGTCTATAGTCTGGCAACCTGACACTGATGAAAAAAAAGCAATTTATTTTGCACCTTGTCCAGCGCTTGTGGCGTTTGTAGGCATACGATATATTATAATATTATAGTACTTCACAGACATACAGACTATAAACGTATGGTGTGGGTCATACCATGAATATAATATGAGTATATTGCGCTTCTTTATCACTATATTCTATTGGTGTTGGTCTGAACACTATATATGATGGTTATACATAGTATATATGTATGTAGTAAATACTTGGTGTGCTGTTATGTATATCTGAGCATTTTATATATCCTTATATCTTGTATATGTATCAGTGGATATTTAATATTCTAAAGTGCTCAGACCCGTATTGTTGAAATAATCGATTTTGATTCCATACACAGCTTGTGTTTATTATACATATTTCTATTTTAAAAAGGTTTTTTTTTATTTGTATCTAATTATCAAAATCGATTGTTAATCCGGGTAAAAATCCGTTGGCGGCTATATCACAAACATTGGCATTGGAAGAGTCACAAATATTGGTCCAAAATTTTATTGGCCGCCAATCGGCAGTTATACTATATAAAGAATTGCATTGCTACAATAAAAGCTTTCTAGCTTCAGAAGCCTTGCATGTTTTCCCATTTTATTCGTGTCAAAATATAGTATTGGTGTCAAATATTTATTATTTTGTAGTAATATATAACCACTAAAGTATAATAAAGATTTTGGGTCCATCCGTGCAATAGTTTGCACAAAAAAGGTTGCACAATTTGCACTACACGACTCTAGTGCAATAGATAAAGTATATTATAATTATATGAAGTATATAATCAACGTAATCTTAAACATAGATTAGATATAACGTAGATTTTATTAAGAAATATTTAACTGTATATAATTAAGCATGCTTTGAATTACAATATTGTAAGTTTAATCAAACAAATATTCAAATTGACGATTTTATTCCAAAATCAACATTTGAAAATAGAAACAAGTCCATTAAAGGCAATTGTTTAAAAAGAATTCCAAATAATTAAAAATAACATTTATGAAAGTTGTTAGATTTTTTAAGCATTAAATGGAACTGCAGTTAAATATAATATTATTTATTAACCTTCAATAAATTCTTTCGACACTAAGTGAAAAACAACAAAATGCAACCTACTATAAAAAAAACCGTAATTAAAAAAAAAATCTTACAAAATTCAACCGAATTTCTTAAAAAAAATTATACATTATTGTACATTCAATTTATTAGGAGAAGAGAATAATGCGTCCCCGCAACGTAAGAAGAGCGAGGCGGAGGTGCTGTCGCCGAAGTTGTCCCGAGCGGCCACGACTATTGCCGAAGAGGCCGTCGACCAGCTGCAAGCTTCTGAGAAACTTATTGCTGGTAAGTTTTACATAAAGACATACAACCTTCGTGGCTAATTGTTTGACGAGATAACTCGATTAGTTTCAGGCCATGCCTGGGGCTTATAGTCATGAGCAGCGTTTGATACCAAATGACGGATAACTTGCAACCGTACTGTATAAATGTGACCCGAGTGTACTGTGAGTGTGTGTGTAATAAAGCCTTAAAAAAGTGTAACAAACGCTTTTATGAAAACCCCATCAAAATTAGTTTAGCCAGCCTCGAGATAATTGCGCACAAACATATACACATACTACTAACTAAGTCAAACTAAGAACCTTCGTTTTTCTTTTTGAAGTCGGTTAAACATTTCACTGAAAAAAAGAGATATTTCTACTATCTAATTCATCACCAACTGCCCTATAAATACCCACTGCTGAGCAAAGCCTCTTCTCACACGGAGAAGGTTAGAGCATTAATCACCACGCTTGTTCAATGTGGGTTGGTGATTACAAACTTATAATTAGAAATTATAAGCCCAGGTTTCCTCACGATGTTTTCCTTCACCGTTTGTCAGTGGTGTCTAAATAATCTTAGAAAGTACATATGACTCGGAAAAAGTCACATTGGTACAAGTACCAATGTGGCTTGCCGTTGGTAGGTTTCGAACCCGTACCCTCATGCATGAGAAGCAGGCGTCTTAAACCTCCGGGCCACCACGACAACGACTATCCAATTAAAACTCTTTAATTGGAATCTAGTGCCTTATAAAGAAATTGAGCTATTATCCATTTTCATCATATTCTTTTTTCAACAGAACTAAACGAGACTTGGGAGGAAAAACTGAAGCGTACCGAACAAATCCGGGTGCAACGTGAAGCCGTGTTTGCGGAGATGGGACTGGCAGTGAAGGAGGGAGGCATCACCGTCGGTATCTACTCGCCTAAGAGGACACCGCATCTCGTCAACCTGAACGAAGACCCCAACCTGTCTGAGTGTCTCATCTATTATATTAAAGATGGTGAGTATCTATTGTTAGAATATAATTCTAAGCAAGACAATGTATTTTAAATTTACTTGTATCGCGATGGCTAAGATGTGAATAGAATTGACATAAGTATTAAATTTTTTTACGGGATTAGCCGGTAAAGAACCGAGCAGACGGATCGCCTGATGGTAAGCAATCGGCGGCGACACCCGGAACACCAGAGCTGTTACAAGTGCGATACCGACGTTTTGGGGATTAGGAATTTGAGGATTGTTAGGGATTGGGGAAATTGGAATAATTGGGCCTCCGGTAACCTCACTCACACGACGAAACATTGCAAGAGTGTTTCACGTTGGTTTTCTGTGAGGCCGTGGTATTATTCCGATCGAGCTGGCCCATTCGTGCCGAAGTATGGCTCTCCCACACGTTCATCTATTGGATTAGAGAACAAATCAGAGGTTTAGTTACCAATAGAACCTGTTATGTTGATAGTTAAGCTATGTTTACTTTAGTTGGATTCTAAATTGAGAAATTTGAGACTTAGATTTTATTTACGAAATATTTTTCTGTGCATCAAAATGAAAATAGTTTGCTCATATCTCTGAGACGAACAATCCTCATTTTATTGGTACTACTCTGTTTGTTGCTTTCTTCAATATTTTGACTTATAGGGATGAAAGGGTACCGAGTTTGTCCCAATGAACCGTATAACTCCAGAAACCACTTATAAAGACTACGAAAATGAATCCGTAGACCCATTTCTGGAAAAATAAATTAACTATCTTTCTTTCACCCTAGGTGTGACCCGCGTGGGTACATCCGAAGCTAACGTCCCGCAAGACATCCAGTTGTCCGGCTCCCACATACTGAGCGAGCATTGTATCTTCGAGAACACTGACGGAGTCATACTTCTCATCCCACATCGAGATGCACTCATCTATGTTAATGGACGCGAGGTAAGAAGTTCATGATCATTTTAAAGGTACATTTTAGTTAGTATTTTGCCATTTTGTAAATATTTCTTATTATTTGATCATTAAATCATCTGCCTCATTGGCCGAGTGGTTGCAAGTGCGACTGCTGGGCAAGAGGTCTCGGGTTCGATTCCCGGGTCAGGCAAAGTATTACTGGGTTTTTAAAAAAAATCTGTGTAGTAGCACGGAGTCTGGAATTGTGCCCGTTATATGGCAATAGGCTTACCCCCAATTACATGGGACACATAACACACATAGTGAAAAGTGGGTGTTACATTGTACAGTGGCATAATGTGCACTTCTGCCTACCCCTCCGGGGATAAAAGGCGTGATATTATGTTATTATGTAATTTAATGATGAAGGTACAGTACAAATTGTTGAGCTATGCTGCACAAATCCTTTCTATGAGACTAATTCACTGTTATTATATGAACTACAGACTATAAATATTAAAATCTCCAAAATATAACTCGACACTAGTCGTCCAGTGATCCTGATTGATTAGATACATCAAGGACATAGTTCTAAAAACAAATCAAGACAGTTTACCAAAATATCCCTTATTGTCATTATACCAAGAACTATAGTCAATTACTCAGAAACACACAAATGTTAATACAACGTATTTCCCAGCTAACGGAGCCAGTGATCCTGAAGTCCGGATCCCGCGTGATCCTGGGCAAGAACCACGTGTTCCGGTTCACGCACCCTGGACAGCCGCGCGAGGACCCAGTCAACAAGGAGAACAAGGAACTCACTACCAGCTACACCGAGAGCGACTGTGAGTACACTGACCTTTATGATGTTATACATAGATTGGTATAAGATAATGAAACCTGTAGAAAATTGTTGAAAGTCATCCCATAAATTTGTTCATACAGAAGTAGTCTCTAAACATTGGCAATAAGGTCTATATTGTCGTTAGTGTAGAGCGGTCACCGGTGACCGCTTGGGGATATATAGGTTTTATATGGGTTTAAACTGTCAAACACCAAGCGGTCACCGGTGACCGCGACCTATTGTTCTTTAATTGTGTCTATAAAACCGGTACTCGACGAGTTAAATTACTTCTTACAACAAACACGTCAAATACGTAGGTAAATCTTCGACAATATTAGTTAAAAAACTAAGTTGTCATTTTGACCATTTTTAATGGGTTATGACTTATCATCAACAGCCTATAAATGCCCACTGCTGAGCTAAGCCTCTTCTTACACGGAGAAGGTTTAAGCATTAATCATCTCGCTTACTCAGTGCGGATTGGCGCTTTCAAACTTATATATTATAGTCAGAATTTTAATTAGATTCCAGATTTGACAATAGCTACTGTCATTTTGTGAAATAATGATACCACATATAATAGTGTAGTGATGCACACAAAAATCGATAAACAATCAGTGTGTGTGTTTTATAATAAATGTTACAGAAAGTGACACGATACCGATAGCGATGACGGCGACAATTTATAAAATAAATTTATTTACACTTTATTGTACACCATAAAAACATACATAAAAAAAAACAAACATAAAAGAATGTGCACAATGGGCGGTCTTATCGCAGAATGCGATTTCTTCCAGACAACCTTTGGATGGAGCCAGTATTCAGGAGTTTGAAAAAGGGGGTCGTCTAGTGTACAATAATTAAAACAATACATACAATATAATACTATCTATACCTACATACCAAATAAATAATATATAAAATTAAAATAGATATACCTACTATACATAAGTGAGTGTGTGTGTAGATGTGTCTGTGTGTGCACGCGCGCGTGTGTGAGTGTGTGTGTGTGTGTGTGAGTGTGTGTGTGTGTGTGTTTATGTGTTTCCATGCTAGGTAGGAATTTTTAAAAATAATGACTAAAGAGAGAGGTAATGTTCTTTAACTAGATTTTTAAACTGAGGTAGAGTTTCAGCACGCCTCACCTTAATCGGCAAGGCATTCCACAACCGAGCCGCTTTAATAGTGAAGGAATTACCAAAAAAGGAAGTGGAGTGCAAACTAATATTTAAATTAAGATTGTCTGATGATCTCAATAACCTTGTATGTGTGTCACCAAGGAACTGAAAACGTTCTTTTAGATAACAAGGGGCAGCAGGATTGAAGAGTATATTGTAAAGTAATGAGAGAATATGAGCATTCCGGCGAAGTCGAATAGGTAGCCATTTGAGTTTTTTTCGAAAATCTGAAACGTGATCATATTTGCGCAGTCCAAATATAAACCTGATTGATAGATTTTGAAGACGCTCAAGCTTATCTAATTGTTCCTGGGTGAGATCGAGATAGCTGGCATCAGCATAGTCGAGGATCGGCAGAAGAAGAGATTGAGCAAGGGCAATTTTTGTATAAGTTGGCAAAAAATTCTGGAGACGCCTCAGGGAGCCCGCCGAGGCAAACACTTTCCGGCTAACCTCCTGCAGTTGTTTGGACCAGGACAGCGTATTGTCAACGTAAATCCCCAAGTTTTTTACATCTCGAGAATAAGGAATTTTTGTAGTAAGCAAAGAAACCTGGGGTAAAGTTGACCAGTCAATTTTAGAGACAGACCTTGAACTACCGACGATCGTCACTTGCGTCTTTGACGGATTTATTTGCAGTCCGAAATTACTGCTCCACTCGCCTATCCGGTCCATGTCGCGGTTGATTGTTGCAACAGCATTCGGTAACTCAACAAGCGAAGCTTGAGTATAAATTTGGAGATCATCAGCATAAAGGTGGAAAGAAGAAGAAAGAGTTTTAGAGATAGAATTAATAAATAATGCGAAGAGTAAAGGAGATAAAACGCCACCCTGAGGTACACCGGCAGCAGTAGTACACCATGAGGAGGAAGATTCCTCAATTTGCACCCGCTGACGGCGACCAAACAGGTAGCTACGGAACCATTCAACTACCCCGGGCGACATGTTAAGAGCGCCGAGCACGCCAAGCAATATGTCGAAGTCAACGGTATTAAAAGCATTGCTAAAGTCAAGGAGTACAAGTACCGTTAACTTTCCCGACTCCATGCCTGACCTGATGTCATCCGTAACATTGACAAGGGCCGTGGTGGTGCTGTGCCCCGGACGAAAACCAGACTGGAAAGGGCTAAGGAGTTTGTTTTTGGTAAGGAACATGCTAAGCTTAAGATGGACCAACTTTTCCAGGATTTTGGATAGGAAAGGAAGAATGGATATAGGACGATAGTCTGAGAAAGTGACAGGATTTGGTTTCTTAGGTAAAGGAATCACGTGAGCTGCCTTCCAAACCTGCGGGAAAACGTTACTAGAGACTGAGGAATTAAAGACAAAAACAATGACAGGAACAATTTGGTCAAGAATAGTTATGATCATCTTCCGGTTAACACAGTCACCACCAATGGCATTAGATGTTGTAGATAAGATGGCTCTCTTAACATCACACTCGGTGAATTGATTTAAGACAAAGGGAGCAGAATTTGGTATCGGAAGTAAAGAAAGATTTTTTTTTTTTTTTTTTTTTTTTAACCCCAAGGTGGGAAATCCTCATGGAGCCCCCTCGCCTGGGGAGGACGAAAGGGACTGTCAGACTCTTACTGACTAAAACCCACCCCGGTGTCCCGTCTCACACGTGGGTACGAGGGTGCGGGAGTCACATTCATCCGCAGCCCCCGAACTCGTGGCGGCCTGCCTTGCCAGGCCCCACCTCAAGCTGCACGGAGAAGTGAGGTGTTGGTCTTCTCCGTGCAACGTCTCGGAGGCGCGCGTGGACACAACGCGCGCCACCGTCTCGGGTCCTTTACAACGGGATGACGGGGACTTCCCCAAGTCCACCGTCCCCGGACCCATTTAGGGGGGTCGAAAGAGAGTAATTTCTGCTCTCCTTCGACGCCCGGTGCGCCTACTGCGGGAAGGTAGAGACATTGCAATTTCTCTTTCCCTCTCCGCAGCCTCCTTCCGCGACATTACATCTTCGCAGAAGGACACCACTGCATCCCACGACTCTGCACTGCCGACCATTTTTTGGACAACAGTCGACAATGACAGATCGTCACCGATCTCTAATATGAGGGCACGACGCGGCTCATCCCAAGCCACGCACTCCATAAGGGTGTGCTGCGCCGTATCCTCCTCACAATGGACGCAGTGATGGCACCGAGCGTTTGGCTCCCTGCCTATGCGACACAGGAACTTTCCGAAACACCCATGCCCCGAAAGCACCTGCGTCACTCGGAACGACAGGGTGCCATGCTTTCTCCCGAGCCAGTCGTCGAGTACTGGCCGGACCACCTCGATGAAGTTGAGTCCAGCGGTAGGGCGTTGAAGCCTCTCCCGCCATTCCGCCACTAAGACCTGACGAAGCTCCGACCGGTGCGATTCTATCTGTCGTTGCACCAGTCGGACACCCCGTTCCTGCTGTTCCTTACGCCACAGATACAATGACGCAAGTACTTTCGCCTCGAGGTCCCAGGGCGGAGATCCGGCCAATACGCAAGCTGCCTCATAGGAAATCGTGCGATAACCCCTAATGACTCTGACGGCCATCGCCTTTTGCGGTTTTCGCAATACTGCAATACTGCCGGCCGTCAGGTCTGCCGCCCATATCGGGGCTCCATACATGGCCATGGATAGTACGATCCCTACGTAGAGCCTCCTACAGACAGCGCTCGGGCCAAGTAAAGAAAGATAGTTTAATGTAGCAGCTTTGGTTGCCCCGTCTAAAATGGGCGAGGATATGAAGTGATTATTTAATAAGTTAAGGTCTACATTTGGAAAAGAGTTTTGAGTAGACTTTCCGATACCAAGAGATTTGAGAAATTTCCACACTTTGGCTGGATCACTGTTTTCAACCGAGTTGTGAATAAACCGGCGTTTAGCATTCCTAATAACCTTGTTGCAATAATTCCTGATTTTTAGGTATTTGAGTCTGTTGCTTTCATTTGCTTGGATTCTATATTTGAATTTGGCAGCAGCTTTTTTGGATATCAGTATCTTAATATCATCCGTGAGCCAAGGCGATGGTAGGTGTCTGACCCTAACAGCCCGGACAGGCGCATGCTTGTCATACAGCTGAACTAGGGTATTAGTCAAAAATTCAGCCTGTTCATCAACCGACGTAGATTCGACCAGGGGCGTCCAGTCAATGTTGCCAGCATCTTCCCTAAGGCGCTCCAAATTCATACCCTCAAAATTGCGACGGTAGAGTGTTTTCGACTTATGCTTAGGAGGACGAATTTTATAGGAAGAGTAGATTAAATCATGGTATGAGAAAGCGTCAGCTGAACACTGCCCATGTTTAGCAACGAGATGAGGGGAAGAAACTAAAATTAGATCAAGAAGTGAAGGAACAGAGTGAGGGAAGTGGTGGGTTGGGCCAAGGTCAAGGTAAGAAAGATTCACCGAGTTAATGACATGAGTTAGAGATGTGGAACGTGTATCATTTTTAAGGAGACAAGTATTGAAGTCCCCCATTATAATACAGTGCTCATATGTGGGAGTCAACGCTTCCAAGAGTAGTTCAAAGGAGGAAAAGAAGTTAATACGAAGAGAAGGACAGTAGTAGACGCCAAGAAGGACCTTAGTGTGGTGAAGTTCCACCTCCAGAAAAAGGTGCTCACCAGCATTCGTTGGCGGGGGCTGTGCGGACATACTTAAGACTGTAAAGGAGAGATAGTTTCGGAGATAAATGGCCACACCGCCCCCGCCCCCAAACGCACGATCATTCCTTACTAGATTAAAACCAGGAAGAGAGTAAGCGGAAGATGGGAGACAAGGTTTTAACCATGATTCAGACACAAGAATTGCATGAATGTTGTTACAATCGAAAGTTGCCAGCATATCAGTGTAATGAGCCGGAATACTCTGAGCATTGATGTGGACTACATTGAAGTTACGCGATGCATCAGAAAATACGGAAACCAGTGTATCCGTTAAAGACGGAATACTACAGAAGCTTTCGTAAATTATTACCATAATACATATATCTGTTTTATTTGTCATGTTCCTTCATGATTACATTTTTTTATTTATTTCACACACAATTATAAAAGAAATGTCTCAGATCGTTAATTAATCGTCAAAACTAAATTATCGGTTCAGAAATATTCAATTTCCTGATATACTTAGTTTACTAGAGTAAAATTATAAGCGAGAAGAATCGATCCAGAAATATTGCATTTCCATATCGAATAATTTCGCAACGTCACTATTTAGTACTTGTCATAACGTTGCAACACTGAAATTGTCAAATCTGGAATCGAATTAAAATTCCGAGTATAGAATATAAGCCCAGGTTGTTTCACTATGGTTGCCTTCACCTTTTGTCAGTGGTTTCTAAATAATCTTAGAAAGTATATAATATAACTCGTGAAAAGTCACATTGGTACTTGCTGTTAGTAGGTTTCGAACCCGCACTCTCCTGCATTAGAAGCGGGCATTTTAACCGGCTTTAAGATTGATAGGTTCTAATACAATAAAGTAAAGTCTGTAAGTACCACATTAAAGTGCTATAAACCTTACTCACGGAAAACAACAAAATATTATCCTGCTCTTTATCTGCACTCAAAAATTTGCTCTATACCAATAATAAAACAAAATGTATAACTTATATTTTCCTCATGCAGCTGGTAGTACAGACGCGGACGGTAAGAACGTGGACTGGGACTATGCGCAGTGTGAGTTGTTGGAGAAGCAAGGCATAGATTTGAAGGCAGAGATGCAGAAACGTCTGCTGGCACTTGAGGAACAGTTCCGTAGAGAGAAGGAGCACGCTGACCAGCAGTTTGAAGAACAACGCAAGGTATGGTGTATTTTGTAGGAGGCCTTAAGCTACACTAGCGCCAGTCAATATAATACGAAATATAGAGGACATTTTCTGTAGCTTTAATATTCATTCTTTAAAGGAAAATGTGATTTTGTACTAATAAAAGTGAAATATGATTTGTCTACTTCCTTTACTAGAGGTTTTTGATTGTCAATTTTATTTATTTTATTATAATAATACTGACAACGTATAAAATATAATTTCTATACTTATCGTCTTTATTTCAAAATGAGTAAATATTTTTTATAATTTTTTGTGGATTGTTCTAGAACTACGAGGCCCGTATCGACGCTCTGCAGCGTCAGGTGGAGGAGCAGAGCGTCACCATGTCCATGTACAGCTCCTACACTCCTGAGGACTTCCATAATGATGAAGATATATTTGGTAAGTCAAGTAAAGCTTGTAACTAACAATGGTCTTTATTACTGAACAAAGTTTCTTGTGCCCTGCTCTTAAGTAGGATGCCACATGATACTAAAATGTAACCTGGGCCTCTAGCCAAACGCCACTTTAGCGCTTGTCTACAGTGAGAGTAGAAATCAAAATGTATGGGGATGACACTGACAAGTGTCAAAATTTACGTCAATTCCATATAATTTGGTTTTCTACTCTACATGTAGACAAGCGCTAAATGGCATTTGGCTACAGCTGCAGGGCCTTTAGCCAAACACCACTTTAGCGCTTGTCTACAGAGAGAGTAGAATTCAACATGTATGGGGATGACACTGACAATTGTCAAAATTTACTTCAATTCCATTTAATTTGGTTGTCTATTCTACATGTAGACAAGCGCTAAATGGCATTTGCTACAACTGCTGACTACTAACTGTTTGTATAAATATTAAGAAAGTGCAATACTACGTACTTAAAAGTTGCAAAAGAAATGATTTTGGTTGTCAATATGAGTATCCAAAAACAAAATAAATAATAATAATGTGAATTTGAAATCGATTAAAATAAGTCCTAGACATAGGTCATATTATTATTTACATTTTTAATAATAATGAAACCGCCGTTATTCGCATATTTTACATTTACTATTTATATTGTGTAGTGAACCCGTTATTCGAGACGGAGTGCTGGTCGGCGCGCGAGGTCGGCCTGGCCGCCTGGGCATTCCGCAAGTGGAAGTATCATCAGTTCACATCCCTACGTGACGATTTGTGGGGAAATGCTATCTTCCTCAAGGTAAGTTATATATAAATAAAGGCCTTTGAAATATTGGTAAATAGGGTCGTTATGAGAATTAAGATTATTAGGAAAGGCAAAATGCTTTACAACTTTACAAACATTTGGTTGGGATTCGCAATAATAAATAGGACGGAAAACTCTCTTTTACTTTTACTTTTTTTAACTGTAACTAACAAATATTCACAAACAAGAAAAAAATAACCCCCTAAAGACTAAAAGCGACACCAGCGCCACTCAAACCAAAACTCCTCTCTACAGGAAGCAAACGCGATCTCAGTGGAGCTGCGCAAGAAAGTTCAGTTCCAGTTCACATTGCTGACGGACACTCCGTACTCTCCCCTGCCGGCCGAGCTGGCTCCCCGAGACGATGCCGACGACGAGTACAGACCCTCGGCACCTACTGTTGTAGCCGTCGAGGTCACTGACACCAAGAATGGCGCCACTCATTATTGGACACTTGAAAAGCTACGGTAAGTGATTTTAGGGATGTTGGGATGTATCTTTTGTGTAATAAGACCTATATTTCTTTGGCACCTATGTGTGAAATGATAGGTGAAGGTTATAGGACAGTCTCAACATGAAATGTACCGTCTTTTTATGTATTAGGGTTTATTTTACGTTATATATAATCATACAGGCGGTTGTAGGCACAGTTTTATTATAGGTTCTATAATTTAAGTTGACACACAATTATTTCTTCAATTTGAAATAGATATATTATTAAAGTCTTCCTTACAATCATTCTTCTCGATGTTATTATTTTAGTTCTCTCTTATTTATGTTCTATTTTCAAAAATATGTATGTTATGAAAACACATTCATTATTTTGTTAATTTTGTTGCATTTTGTTTTTTGGTCCTTTCGTCCGTATTTGTTTATCGTCAAAAAATATGTATTTTGCTGGTGCCGTGTGGAGGATAACCTTATATATGTTATTATATATCTTATATTTCGAGAATATGATCGATTATATACTCTGTGCTATAGACATTGTACATATAGTGGGCGGTAAGTACACTTTCTTATAATAGGTCTAAATGTATAGTTGCAATGTCTATTCTATTTATAATAGAGCTTGTTTTATTTGCTGCTTTTTTATTTTATTTTACATTCTGACGTGCTATTTATATATAATGTTATAATAGATTCCCTCATTTTTTTACGAAATTATAACTTAAGCAAATGAAAGAAATTCATTACGAAATACACTATACACTTTTCCTATTTATAATTACACCTTACTACAATATTTTTTCACATTTTTCTAATTATGATAATGAAGATCTGATCATTTGCTCGATCAAAATGAGAGGACATGCCTACTCCTTACGAGATTAGTGTAGAAGGACCAATTTTTTTTATATATTTATATACCTAGAGATATTGTCTTAGATTTTGTCTAGTTTGTACAATTTAGACGTCGATACAGGGAGCTGATGTTGAATGGAGACACAGAGGGCATTGCCTCTCAGTTTGCGAATAGGTCGCAGGGAGTTAAGTACGTAGGGTCGGTAGGGCAGCGGGCTACATGGGTGTATTGTCCGTAGCCATCGGCTGGAGCTCATGCGACAGATATACAACATGAACGAGAGCGCTTGTGCCGAGGACGAGGCGCCCCCGCTAGTGCTGGCGCCGCCGCCTCACGTCGCGGCCGGGGGCGCGGCCGGGGGCGTGGCCGGGGCGCCGCCCCCCGACATACTGCACTGTATCTCTGCGTGCGCGCAACAGACGCGCCTGTCGCTAGCCAACCTGCTGCCCTCCAGGTTTGTGACCGGCGACACGCACAGGCCTCACGTCCAGATTTATTATAGCGATCTCTTTATCATACTACAAAGTGTATTATAAATTTCGTAGTAAAACTGTGAAACGAAACATAGAAATGGCTGACTGTAAAATAATGTTTATTATCCTACTACCTACAGCATTTCATATATCGCTATACTTTATCAAGATGTGCTTATAAGGACAGACAGTCCAGAGACGCAGACACAAGCTTAGGACAGTAGGTTGCGCACGGGCATCGATCACAGAAGACAGTGTATCATGCGCACTATTTAGCTTGCAATGTATTATACACGAACAGATCTACTGACGCATTAGATTCCATGTGTATAAGCTTAAGGCTTAGTTTCCAGGATGTTGCCTTTTATTCATATGTTGTTCAAATAAGCTAGGAAATCTATTTACTCTAATCTAATTGATTTTCGACCTTATTTCAAAATTATCAAAGTTGCAAGTCTAGGAAAGAATTTTTTCAGATTGGAGTAGATAGAATGTTGTTGTTTACTTTCAGTAATAAGAAACTTTCATAGTAACTTTCGTACTTTCTTGTATTTAGTTGTGGACAAGTATATCATGTCGACTTGATTATTTTTCTCCTAATGCGCAAGTAATGAGGACGCACCGAAATAGTTTTAGATAATTGTTGAGGCTGACACGCATTGGAATGCCCAAAAGTATAAAAGCTTATATTATTTTGAGCGATACGACACTTATTAGAAAACGAAGACGTTCCCGAGCGTACGACGTGTCGCGTTCCGCGCGCGCCTCAAAGAGCCATCAGACCACCACAGATGGGGCCCAATAGGGCTGATGCCGATTCGGAGTCGCGGAGAACCTAACGGGTAACCGGGGCTCCAGCTCGACGTGCAAGAGAAGGAACGGGGTGGTTTTTAGTCAGTAAGAGTCTGACACTCCCTTCCGCCTCACCCAGGCGGGAGCAGTCATTCGATGATTTTCCCCCCTTAAAAAAAGACGCTCTACAAATTTTATGAAAAAATTAAATTCAAAGTAAAACATATTTGTATTGTTACTAAAAAAATATTAAATGTTTAATTAAACTGATTATTTTTCATAGAATGTAAAAAATACGATGTTTTACATCTCTTTTACCTGAATATTAACTATAAGTTAGCTTCAGAATTGTATATCGAAAGAAAACTATACCTACGATTAAAATAAGGCTTTTATGGCTATAATTATCACGGAACAATTTGTCTGTTTCCAATTATTTTAATAGATATTTTAAAAGTATGGTATATTTTTAATCGTGTAAGTTGGTGTAGTATATGCAGTACCTAATCAAAGAAAGTAATGGGATTATTTTACGAGTGTATCAACGTAGAATATTAACAATTTTTTTAGAATAATCTGTAAATTTACGCATTTGAAGATAGTTTTGTAAAAAAGCTCTAGTTAGCCTCGTAACCACCGTAAGCACTGCGGACGGCGAGAACCAGAGCGTACGGTGCGTCGCGTTCTGCGCGCGCCTCAAAGAGCTATCACACCACCACAGATGGGGCCCAATAGGGCTTAACAGGTTGCCATGGTTCCGGCTCAAAGTGCAGGAATAGGAACGGGGTGATAGTCAATAAGAGTCTCCCTCCCGACACTCCCTCTCGCCTCACTCGGGTGGGAATAGTCATTCGATGTTTTTCCCCCCTCAAAAAAAGCCTCGTAAAACATGACCACAAAATAATGATACAAATTAGGTCAAGAAAAAAATTTGGTCCTTTTTTCCTCAAAGGACTAAATCTAATTATCAAGAATATAAATTACATTATTGAGCATTTAACGTTAAGCTTGCAATATCCTGTATAGTAGTCAAATTGAACCCAGGTGTGGTGGCGCTGTAGTCGATAATGGCACAATATGTGTTGTTAAAATAATAGTTCTCTTAGAATCCGCAATTTGGCATTGTTATCTTACGGATTGTGCTTTATTTGTATGTAGATGTAAGATGTTGCATGTATTATTTTTAAGATAGTTATGACAATGGCGTATAAGAAAGGAGAATAATTTTATTGGCTTCATAAAGTGTTATCTCTATTTATAAAGCTACAAGTTCTTTACTTCTATCAATAATATTGTACTGTACGAGCAGGCCACAGACATAACGCTTTTTGAAGTTAACATTGGTCGAAAGTGTTCTATATGGTATTTTATAATTTAGAATCCTATTGTATTCTTCGCTATTCTTATTTTAACAGCATTGAACTAGCACTGCTATTAATGAAAACAAATACTGTTCAATTTTTAGTTGACTTTGTCAAAATAGGTACTTTTGACAACAACTTCGTTGAACAATATTTGCTTCGTAGCTTATGTATGGCAATTTGCTTCAAAAAACTGCTATTAAACCTTTCCAAAAAGGTGATAATTACCTCCAAGCACTCATGTAAATTGCAACCTTAATACAATAGTATTAAAGTCTAATTACTCTTATTAATTTACCAGGCAACGTCTGGAGCTGATGCGTGAGATGTACCACAATGAAGCCGAGCTGTCTCCGACCTCACCTGACCATAACATTGAGTCCGTTACTGGTGGAGACCCCTTCTACGACAGATTCCCGTGGTTCCGTCTAGTGGGACGGTGAGTTATTGTTGTTATTGGTAAAATAGAATTAGCCATTAAATAGGATTCAATTCAGAGAGTTAATAAATACGAGTTCTTTTTTTAATACACCTAAAAATGAAATTATTCATGTTTAGTTGTTTAATTGTAAACATAATGATTTCGTTTTGATTGCCAATGATAGCAGTTACCTAAATGGACAATTTTCAATAACAACATATCAAAGTGAATGTTAGAACACTTCCCTACATAATATAAAACAAAGCCGCTATCCGTCGTCTGTCTGTCCCTATGTATGTTTAGATCTTTAAAACTAAGCAACGGATTTTGATGCGGTTTTTTTAATAGACAGAATGATTCTTAAAGAAGGTTTATATGTATAATACATCCATATTGCACCCGTGCGAAGCCGGGGCGGGTCGCTAGTAATTTATAAATCTGGTCCTTCGAACCACATACAGAGGTTATATCTTGTCAAAATAATAAATTAATGTCCAAATACTCGAACGCCGCTCAATTTGGAGTCGCTACATATTCTTTATAAAATGACAGTGACGGCACGATATTTAAGTACAACTTAAAATTGATTGATCTTTTCAGTATTCGCCCTTATGAAGCTCTTTTCTATAACCTATTTTGTTATTGTGGTCCTTCAGTCATATCTGTCCTACTGACTAACTTTTGAAATTGAAATTAAAACTTTAACTGATTCTATTGTCTTGTCTAAATAACAGGAGCTTCGTATACCTATCGAACCTGCTGTACCCGGTTCCTCTCATTCACAAAGTGGCCATCGTGAATGAGAAAGGAGACGTCAAGGGCTACCTTCGAGTTGCCGTGCAAGCTGTTATCGACGCCGAAAAGAGTGAGTATTCAAGACTAAGATTTTGAGCAATTATATTAATTTTATCTGAAAAATTATGTTGCTTTGTCTATATCACTGAATGGTCAGCTTCATACTCACAAATGTTATCTTTAACAAACTCAATACTCAGATGGAGGCCCTTTTGGCATGGGCACGCGCAATTAAATATTATTTATATACATATATTTAATTTCTGTTTTATATTTGTATTGGCACAATTTAGTTAAACTTTGTTGTTTCTTCGTTATTATCTTCTTTTAAGTTTATTATTATTATTTTGTAATAAATAAGTATCAGTATTTTTTTAATCATCTGTGTGCGCGCGTAAGCAAATAATTTATAAGGCAGTAGTGCCTTATAAATTATTTTTCTGTCTTTCTTGATTTAGCAGACAAAAGAGTTTTAACTTAAAACATCTTGTATACTAATACATACGTATATTGTTCCGCTTAGTTTATTTTTGTTACTATGCAAGAAAATATATCAACAACGCAATCTTACTAAATTGAAAAATGAATGATGATGAATCGTTAATCTCTTCAACAATTCTTTCTCACATACCTCTATTCCTCTTTCTAAACTGTCTAATCTAGAACTATTGCTTCATCTATACTGTCTAAACTTCTACCTAAAACTCTATCTCTATCTTACTCTTTCTCTATTCTGAAGTATGGCAAACGATTTTGTAGACAATGCAGAATTCGCAGCCGGCGTGAAGCAGTCTGCGAAGATATCGTTCGACGACGACGTGGCCCCGGCCCGTCGCACCAAGCTCTCTGCTGTCGACAAGAACAACGCGATTAACCTCGACGAGCGCATTAACGATGTGCCCGATTCCAATATTAAAATTGAAGGTAGGTTACACGAAGATGTATTGTGACGTTTGAAGAAATGAAAAAAATTCGTGTACCTTCATTTCAAAAAATTGGTCCACAAATGAAACCATTTGAAGAAATGAAGCCTCATAGCTGGTCTTGTCATTAAAATATTGACTGAAATGAATTTCGAAAATCAAAGGAAGCAAATATTTGATTGATTTTAGTCACATTAAAATACAAGGCTTAAAGATAGCTAATAAACTGCTCTTTTTTTTTCTTACTATAATCTTTTTCCGTACAGAACTGGCAATGGGTGAGTGTGACGCGGACAGTGGTCGCGGAGACAGCTCCCTGGCCTCGGAGCTGAAGGAGGAGGACCTGCCGGAGCACCTGACGCTGGGCAAAGAGTTCACCTTCCGAGTCACCGTGCTGCAGGCACACAGTGTGTCCACTGACTACGCTGACGTGTTCTGCCAGTTCAAGTGAGTTATTTATTGGTCTAGAATTTTTTATAGAATTATTGTCGACTATTTTTCGTAAAAGCAAATTTGCATTCAATTTTCTAACAGTATCTTTTTCTAACTATATGGGTAGTTACATGTTGTTCTTTTTACAGCTTCCTGCACCGGAATGAAGACGCATTCTCGACAGAGCCCGTCAAAAATGCGGGCAAGAACACACCGCTGGGATTCTACCATGTGCAAAATGTAAGTTACTTCTGAGATAGTTTATAATTACAGGAATTTTGATAGTTCTGTTTGTCTTGGTACAAGAAGTAAGCAAATAAAAAAGAGGAGATACCGAAAATCAAAGCAAAATTTGTTAACAGTATAGAATTATTCTATACTGATATATTCAACTTGAAAGAACTTTGCTCCACCCTAAGATTTTCTCCTGTGTCGTGGATGCGTTGACAAACATACAAGTTCACATACACATGACACCTAAACCCGGAATAACAATCTGTTGATCACACAAAGAATAGTTCCGTGCGGGAAACGGAACCGCGACACGTTGGGCGGCAGCCAGTTGCCCAACCACCGCGCCAACCGTGCAGAACAAAGAGATAAAATTGTTATTGATCATATTCCTCGTATAATTATTTACCAAACATTTTATTTCATAACAGATCACAGTGCCAGTGACGAAGTCGTTCGTGGAGTACATAAAGACGCAGCCGATCGTGTTCGAAGTATTCGGGCACTACCAACAACACCCGCTGCACAAGGTAAGCTCTATTGTACGTAACACTCTCATTTATAATGTTGTGATAATAGACTACTTAAGTATTTGCTTTAAAAACTGAATTGTGGTGTTTCATGTTTGTATATTATTTAAGAATGTTCGTTATTTAAAATTACCTTTTTGGTCCTTCGAGTCGGATTTTTGTCAAGAAGGACCAATTTTAAGATTGATAGAAAGTTACAGATGTTAATAAGCTGTATTCAACAAGATATGTAACAGCTTTGCAGTCTCCCTATAACGTAGATGTTTTATGTAACTTTTTGGCTAATTACATATCGTTAGTATTAATTTAACAATAAACTGTCTTGACTTGACTAAACAATAACAGTCTTGAGAATATCTTCAAGACAGTTCCTTCGAAATGTCCCTAAGATCCAAACAAGCTTTTTTCCCAAGTCTATCTTTTTATCACCAACCATTTCCCAGGACGCGAAGCAAGACGGCGGCGTGGGCGGAGTGGGAGGGCGCACGCCCCCGCGGCGCATGCTGCCGCCGTCGATCCCGATCTCCGCGCCGGTGCGGAGCCCCAAGTGGGGCGCGGCCGCCGTGGCGGCGCCCTGCTGCAGCTCGCACCTGCACTCCAAGCACGACCTGCTCGTCTGGTTCGAGATCTGCGAGCTCGCGCCCAACGGGGAGTACGTGCCCGCTGTGAGTGTCTTAATCTTCTATTTAATGACATACGTACAAGTAACTGAAGCCTTACTACGGGTTTCTTTTACGTTAAAAGTAATCGAAACGAGACTGCCTTCACCGCTCCGATTGGTTAGTTCATTGGAGCCGGCCAATCAGAGCGCCGAACACGTACTCGTTTCGATTGCTTTAACCCGTCGAGCGTCCGCGTTCCTTATGATCCAACGGGTGCACACGTGATATTTGGAGAAAGAAAGAAAGAAAGAAACTGCATTTGTTTGGCCATTGGCACACGAAAACAAGGATCATTACAATAGAAATAAAACAAATACAGTCAAAATAAAAACAAAACATTAATAATAGATTTTATAAAAGAGAAAGCAGCATAGAGCATTTTTTCTTATGATCCACCGGGTGCTCATAAGGACGCTCGAGGGGTTAAACGTGAAACAAACCCGTAATAAGGCCTCTGTTTGACGAGATCACTCGACTAGTTGTAAGCCACGCTAGGGACTTATATTCATTATGCAACAACTGACAAGGTGATCGTCATTATAAATATTAGCACTGTTTAGGTTCAAATTCGTACGTTTACTTAAAAAGAATACACCTTCTGTACTTTTTTATTGTGACTCCGGGTTGCAACACAACATTATTACAATTTTTAGTTCAAAGTTAAGCTTGTACTACAGGACAACATCTATTTCATGTATTCACAACTTAATCCAATACGGAAGCAATAGCCGGTCAAATAAATACGATTCATAATGCACAACTTTTCAAAAATGTATTTTCTTACAACGTATTTTTTATGACTTAACCTCATTAACCTATTTATATTGCTACAGGTGGTGGAGCACTCAGACGAGCTCCCATGTCGCGGCCTGTTCCTGCTGCACCAGGGCATCCAGCGCCGCATCCGTATCACTATTCTACACGAACCCTCGCAGGACCTGCAGTGGACTGATGTCAGGGAACTTGTCGTTGGTATGTATCTGTTTGTATAATCTTTCCGGGTTTTTGTAACAATTTTTTCTCCGTAATTTTGACATTGCAATGAAAATTAAGGTCGGCAAAGCACTTATAACTTACTCTAACATTGCGAGTGTCCATGGGCGGCGTGGATTGCTTACCATCAGGTGATCTGTTTATTCAATTGCTGCCCTACGCCATAAAAAAAGAAAATAAGCTCCGTAGCTCTTGTCCTGGCTTGAATAACAAACGGGACCCTTGAAGTTGCTGAGATAGTTGTATTGAATCTTCAAAACTTTACCAATTTAATTAGGATTTTATAATACGATGTGATATATCGCAGGTCGTATCCGCAACTCCCCCGAGGCGAATGAAGACACGACAGATGGCGACGAGGACGGTGCTCTGTCTCTCGGACTATTCCCTGGAGAGAGGCCTACGCTTGATGACAGGGCTGTATTCAGGTAAGATAATTTGGAAATACCTTAATATTTTTATAATAGCTTGTGGGTTTTATGAATGGTACAAGTTTTATGTGATCAAATATATGCTATAATAATTTATTCTATTCACATTTAAAAAAGAATAAAAAATGTTGAATGAAATAAATCACATTTTTAATGTGAATTATGATTATACCTGATTTTCTTTTATGACATCTACCTTAGATTGAGATTGTAAATCACTACATAGTATAAAACAAAGTCGCTATCCGCCGTCTGACTGTCCCTAATTATTTATTTAATTATAAGCACATGTATAATTTTACAGCACAAGCTAAAACACTATACAGTTAAACAATAAAAAATGTTACTTATTTACTATTTTACACTTATGTAATAGGTATCTTATATAAAAATTACAATAATAATATTAATTACTTAAAACTAATTCATCAGCCGTCCATCTTCTCACAAAATCTTAAACATTCACGACATACATCCTTCCATCTATCCTATGTATTCTTAGATCTTTAAAACTACGCAACGGATTTTGATGTGTTTTTTTTAATAGATAGAGTGATACATAAGGAAAGCTTATATGTATAATACATACATGTTACACCCGTGCGAAGCCAGGGCGGTAGTTACACTATATTTTTAAATGTCCTTATTAGCTTCTCCTATATATGTACATTATTTTCCTAGATATGTTTATTTAAAGTATTAAATTGTGTATGTAACAGGTTCGAAGCAGCCTGGGACAGTAGCTTGCACGGATCTCCCCTGTTGAACAGGGTCAGCGCTAACGGAGAGGTCGTCTACATCACGCTCAGCGCTTACTTGGAGGTCAGTACTCAAGTTAATATAAAATTCCTTGTCATTCGAAGGGAATATTTTTGAATAAAACACTCATATCCGTTTGAAACATTTATTTAAAATTGAAATGTATTAAAATAATAGTGGTTATTCTATAAAACATCATAATAAGATCATATTAACGATTAATTACAACTAAGATACATATAAAAGAAGAAGAAAAGACAAAAGAATACAATTCTTATAATTGCGCAAAGTTTTATTGTTAAGCGCAACAGTTGCGCTACATGCGCAAACATTTTTTAATTAAAAACACTCATGAAACATTAAATTAATATGAACAGAGCGTGATCTGAAATAAACAAATGTTAAATTGTACAGTTAAATAATATTTCAATAAAACCTTTATCCATTTGTCTACTTAGGTGGATAACTGCAGCAGGCCAGCAATAATCACGAAGGACCTGTCCCTGGTGGTAGTGGGGCGCGAGGCTCGCACGGGCAGGTCACTGCGACGTGCTCTGTTCGGTTCCCGGGCCGCACGAGCTGACCACATCACTGGAGTTTATGAACTTAGTCTACACAGAGCTCTTGAACCAGGTATGAGAACATTTTGGAATAAATTTATCGTATCTGTTAACTTCGGAGCTAAAAAGATAGAAAGATCTATGAGTTTTTATTTGAATGATACTGTTCAAATTATATTATACTATGTTATTATACTATACTATAAATACATATTATTCTAAATAGTTTATATTTCAAATAGGCATCTCTGCGACTTTACATAGGCAAACTCACAAACTGTCAAGCATTTTTCTACTTTATTTTTCATATCTATGACAGATATTTGCTTACTTAATTTAAAACCTTAATAAATTATTATACCTACAATATTACCTTATTAAATACTTATGATTAATAAGTTAGAGTTTCAAATCCTGATTTATCTATTAGGATGTGAATACCTTCTTGCCTACACCATCGTTGGTTCGTAGTATGCGAGATTGTGTACGATAATATTATAATATGCAGGCGTCCAACGCCGCCAGCGCCGAGTGTTGGACACGAGCGGAACGTATGTACGGGGAGAAGAAAATCTGCACGGCTGGAGGCCGCGCGGGGACTCACTCATATTCGACCATCAGGTAACTTTTATATAGAAAAAAAATATATTTATTTGTCTTCAGTATGACACTCTTTGATTTATGTTAGGGTTTAACTGCCCAACCCCCGAACAGCCACCGGTGCCCGCTATCCACTTACTCCATAATAGACTTAATTTCCGATATTTAGAGACTACTTTTGTATGAACAAATGTTCTGGATTTTTCATAATCGGGGATTAAGAAGGCAACTTAATTATGTGGTGTAGTTACCATGATTACTATGAGATTGTAAGGAGGATCACGAAGGTTTATAAAACAGATGCTAAATAATAAATTCAGTGACCTTAGATAGATCTTCTGATTGCATTTCCTAATTAATTTGGGGATGGCACGAAATCTTAATTAGATTTGGGTAAATATTATGGGTAAACACCCAAATCTGATTTTCAGACAAAATTTTGTTGCTAAAAAATGTTGAAAGAAAACATAACAATCACGATGAAAAGTAAAATGAATTCACAACCTTAACCTCCTGATTGTAAGATCTATTTTCCTATACTTCACATTTCGTCCACAGTGGGAGTTGGAGAAGATGACCCGCCTGGAGCAAGTAGGCCGCACGCGCCACCTGCTGGCGCTGCGGGAGAGACTGCGCCACGGACACGAGAACACGGTCGCACCCAACGACTTCACTAAGACGGAGAAGGTAAGACTAACAAAGTATTTAATAGATTTGTACTCTATTGTTGTGTAATTAAGTCGAAAATCTAACGGGAACCAAATACACTTGCGTCTGGAATACAATGAGTCTGGAATTTGCGCCGAGTGTAGAAAGTAATTGGGTCATTTTGAGATTAACTCTATTACAAGTTTGTGATTAATAATCACATGTCCAGACTCGAGCAAATTTCATACTAAATGATGTGACTCAGGACATTTGGCATGTTTTTTATATATTACTTTATGGGTTTGTGAATTTTAAGCTATGTATTTTATTCCAGGAGGTAAACAATATGGCGGCTAAGGCGGCGGCAGAATGCGCCCGCGACGAGTCCGTGTACGAGCCGTGGGACATGTCGCCGCGGGAGAAGGAACTCGCCACTAAATACATTAAACTTATACAAGGTAACTATAATTAATTATTATTAATAAAGAATTAATTATTACCTTTTTTGTATCTTCTACTCGTAAGTCTTTACTTTTTACATCATTTGTCTTCATCCATATGAAAGAAAGAAAGAAAAACCGTTTATTTTGCTACGACACACAACAAGAATTCTTAATAAGCATTCCTGGTTCTTGTGATCTGAAAAATTAAATACATACTTAATAATACTTTTTTACGTCAATTCTGAAAACATGGTTCGTTCAAATAACAAGAGTTTCAACTCTGGTTGGATTACTGGGGTATACAAAAAATTCTTCACTTTCTGAATATTATAACCAGAAAAGCACACAGTACTTTTATATGGTATGCAAATCTGCATACTAAAGTAGGAAACATTATCATCATCAACAGCCTAGAATGCCAACTGCTGAGCAAAGCCTCTTCTCACATGGAGAAGGTTTGTGCATTAATCACCAAGCTTGATCAATGCGGGTTGGCGATTACAAACTTATAATTAGAAATAATAAGCCCAGGTTTTTTCACGATGTTTTACTTCACCGTTTGTCAGTGGTGTCTAGATAAATATAACTCGAAAAAAGTTAGATTGGTACTTGCCGTACCTTTAAAACATTATACATATATTTTATACGGCTTCAAAAGATGAGGAAATTCTAAATGATTGTGTTTGTTGTCGCAGGCCGGATAGGGTCTCCCGCCAAGGAGGTGGAGGCGGCGGCGTCCCCCGCGACGCCGGTGGACGAGGGCGTGTCGGCCGACATCTCCACGCCCAGTCTGCTCTCCTCCATACACAGCGCCAGCAGCTTCGAGTCAGTATATCGTACCATACCATTTTTTTTAAGGGGGGAAAATCATCGAATTACTGCTCCCGCCTGGGTGAGGCGGAAGGGAGTGTCAGACTCTTACTGACCAAAAACCACCCCGTTTCTTCTTCTGCACCTCGAGCCGGAGCCCCGGTTACCCGTTAGGTTCTCCGCGACTCGTACCATACCATAGCCTTATCTCACTTATATTTAACAGGATAACTACTGTACTGGATACTAAGGAAATTTTAGGGTGATGAAGCCAACGTGGGTTATACAACTTGAATAACCGGCTTGCCTTGTGTGCATTACGCTACTGTTTTAGCCGAGTAGCGAGTATATGTATAATAGTGTTATTTTGGGACAGAGGTACTAAATATGCTTTACTTGACTAAAATACTAGTGTAGTGGAATGTGGCCATAAGGTCATAATATGGACTCTATGTGAGAGTAACGTAAATGCTATTGTGTTCCGTTTTACAAAGTCAGAAGTCTGTTTGAAGGCCTTTATTTCCGGAAAAAGAATATCTAAAGTTGCGGAAAGCAGGTAGGCTGTATCACCGTAACATCAGATTTAAAATTGTGAATTCAACTGTACTAACAAATAACTATGTTGTCAGCAGACTATGCTCACCTGAGCGTGGTTTACTGGAGAAGTCAATGTCCGGGTGGGCGGGGGCCGGTGGACCCGGGGGTCAATTGGGAGCCCTGGGCGCTCTCGGAGCCCTGCCGGCGCCCGGAGCCCTGTACGTGCCGGACTGCGAGGAGGTGAGGGTGTCGGCCGCCGTGGCCCGGCGCGGACATCTCAACGTACTGCAACATGGCACGCATGGGTGGAAGAAGCGCTGGCTGGTATGTACAATTGATGTTGTATCTCAAAAAATTTAAACTATTTTTTGTTAATATCTTGTATTGGGAGAATTGTAAGTAAGTATATTAATGAAAGAAGTATTCCAGAGGAAAATAGCCCTTATGAATGCTTATCAATTTTTGCTGTATTATTATTTTGCTGCATTGGTCAATATTTTGCATTTGAACATGTGCACTTTACACCTGGACCTAAATAAATAATAATTATTCTATTCATAAAAACTAGCTTTAAACAACTGCACGGAAAAATCTTTTAAAATCAACCATATCATGGTTTATGGTTTGAAAACGCAAAGTCGTAATTAGAAAAGATTATAAAATGATTTACTTTCCATAGGTGGTGAGACGACCATACGTGTTTATATACCGCGACGAGCGCGACCCCATCGAGCGCGCGGTCATTAACCTCGCCAACGCACACGTCGAGTACTCGGAGGACCAGGAACAGATGGTGCGCATGCCCAACACGTTCAGGTACGGAATGTCAACTTTATTTACAAACTAGCTTTTACCCGCGGCTTCGCTCGCGTCACAAAAGGATAAAAAGTAGCCTATGTGACATATACCAATACACACAGCGCCATCTATACCAATAATTTCGTTTTCCTTCGAGAATATAACATTTTTCCGGGATAAAAAGTACCCTATTATTTAATCCAGACTTTTAACTTCACTTGTGCAAAATTTCAAAGCAATAGGTTTAGTAGTTACGGCGCGAAAGTGGAACAAACAAACAAACTCACTTTCCGATTTATAATATTAATCAGGATAATAAGGTTCTATTTAAAAAGAAAATGACTGGGGTTGCTTGATATGATGATGTGATGGTATAGGAGGGAGGGCAAACGGTTTTATAGGGTGGGCATTGTCTACCATTGTCCTTACTATCTAGTAAGATACGTCTGATTTAATTACTAAGTCGACTCTTTAAAATTCATGGCTAGCACTAGTGCAAACTTCTATTAGTTTAATAATGGCTTACCTTATCATTGCAGCGTGGTCAGCAAGGAGCGCGGCTACTTGCTCCAGACCCTGGGCGACAAGGAAGTCCACGACTGGCTGTACGCCATCAATCCCCTGCTAGCTGGCCAGATCAGGTGAGTCCATCCGTTTACACTTTATTACCAACTTCATGAACAACGTAGTGAATCTATGCATGAAACAAACAAGTATGTATTTAATTATATTGCCTTACCATAACAAAATAATCACATTTTGCTTATCTCTCCATTTTTGGCCTAAGACTCCAAGCCATTCTGCCACTGAGGCAAAAGCACCAACCCCTACAGCCAAAGGTAAAAACCTTTACTGTCAACTTTATGGCATAGGTCCCCAACTGCCAGTTCTATATTTAAACACTATTCAACCAGTAGCATGTTCCTTTAGTTGTATGTGTAACTACCTCACTAGACAGATGGTATGAACTCATTGAATATAATTGAATAGTTGTCAACAGATGGGATCGACATGAGCATACACCATGTTTGTTACATGTCATGTTATTGACATACAAAAAAAATTATGTCAATCCTATAACACTATAACATAGACAGCAAACTTGTTGTCAGCTCATGTTAATCTAAATACCGATGGCTTATAGTGAAAACGTCGGTAACTACAAAATACGTAACGTCCAGAAGGCACAGAAAAGAGCACCCTGTAAAATTTTGTTCTGCCAGAAAACTAAATTAGACCTTTATTGCCATGTAAATAAAATCTAATTTAGTTTTGTGTAGGAGCAAAAGCGTCTCGTAATATTTGCAGTTTTTGTGCCTTCTGTAAAGTTGCGTATTTCGCAGTTACAACATTTTCTCTATAAGAATACATGTAAAACTATTCTATTGTATTCACCTACCCTTTGTACCATATGTCTGGCGAGCTGGTAATGTCGGCTTCGTCAATATACACGCTTGAAGTGCCCCGCCAGGTCCCGGTCGGCGCGGCGCGGGGACCGGGCGCCGGCGGGGGCCGCGCCCTGAGACCTCACCATGGAGTCTATCCTCGTTGTTTAAGTGCGTCTCCCACGCCGCACTCGCTCATCGCGCCTTGCACGCCCATTGAAACGGCTCGATACTTCTATGACTGGAATTAAACTGCACAAATAGGTATTGTTATTACATCTTTGTATGAATTGTCGACTGTTATGGCTTCCGAATCGATGTGATTATACGGCCGAAATTAATCATCAACCGTTATCCAAAATCTCTGGATAAAACTAGGTTTTTGACGAAAGTAATGTCAAAAATCGATCACTATTTAAAAATAGTAGTAAGATAAGAAAGTTTAAAGTGCTTTTCAATAAGTAAAAGTACAAGTTGTATCTATTAAAATACCATTTTAATCACATCGATTCTGAAGTTTCGATTTTTCTACGTATCGTATATTGTAATGTTAAGTCAGACTGACTACACTAGCCCCGTAACTAGTGCAGTTCAAAGAAAGTACTAAACATGTACTTTTAGACTGATTGTAACAATATTATTACATCGTCGCAATGTATTGACAATTGCGAACAATATATTTACTTAGAAGAATATTATACGACATGTAGAACGATTGATTGGTCTGAAGTCAAGATAAATGTATGTTTACGTTAAGCTATGTTTCTGTCTCAGTCTTACGCTTGTGAAACGCAATTGTGTGACAGTGACAGCAATATAATCATGTGCTAGTTTAACATATACTTATCTTGATGTAATTGTATGGTTGTAAAGTTTAATTCCAACAAATTGAGTAAAAAGTCTAACGAAAATGTTATCTGTGACTGGTTTGGTGAGGCATAGACATTCTATAGTCACTGAGCGCTCAGGAAGAGCTTTTATTTACTGTGGTCCATTAATATATACCGAGATAGTTTCTTCCGTATTCAAAGTTGCCAAAATCGATACCAAGGTTGTATAGTGATGCGCCTAATTTAACATAGTATCGATAAAGAACTATTATAAAACGGCCATCACTATTTTTGTAAGATTTTACACACTTTTTATACGTAATTAACTATTTCTATAAATTATTAATTTTGTTTCGTCAATTTCGGGACCACACTATAATATGCATAGAAGTCGAAAGACAATGCAAATGAATCAATTATTTTAGCATATCTAAGTTTTATTATAATTATATCATCAGTATTATAAAAGCAGCTGCATTTAATGCAATATACGATATAATACGTAAATATAATATATATGTATTATATATTTAGTTTATATTCGCTAATTGGGTACAAGAACTAGTTGTTGGCACTAACATTGGTCTTATATATTTTTGATTAAAACAAAAAAGTGTCTTAATAAATTATACAATAATGTATTTGATGTAGCTTAATTCATATTTATATTACAAAGTAATATTATACACGTGGAGATATTTTATTTTAACCAAAAATATTCGAGTGCCAAAACTGATAAATTGATGAATTAATTTAGAAGTTTATAGTTTAGTGCGGGGTCGAATGAGAGGGGACCAAACCGGTGCACTGATTATAACAGGAACGGGGTAAACTATATATATACTGATATACATACATACGTGCTGTGTACTGTAAGGTGAGAGCCGTTTCAATGTCTACAAGGCCTACTACATCTTGTTTTTATCTGTATGTAATGGCAACCTTGGACCACGACAAACAATAATGAACTTCAATATGAATATAACAGCATTTATTGTAACCAAGTGTCGTGGTCCATCGGCCAGCCCGTAGCAAATGTTAATGCGTACGTCTACGTACAACTCATGTGCAATAAAAACAATAATATGTTGCGCACAAAATATCGGCGATGTGTGATAGACTCCATCATTGTAACATGACTATATAACTAAGAATTTAAAAGAAAATATTACCATTGTACTTGTGAAAAGACAAATTACTGAACTATATAAATTTTCTTCTAATGTTGGATACATTATTAATGTAATTTACCTTGTATATACGTATGACCCGAACGGTAGAATAAATTATATTTTGTGGCTCAAAAGGCCCGTGGTGGCGGCAGTCCGGACTCGTATGACGTCATACGTAAACGTTTCACATTCTAGTATCGATTGTAAATACATTGAATATTTGTAGTTAATGTAGACTATGCATTATAAATCATTTACGCTACAGTATGTAGTCGGTAATATCGTTTAACTTGATATTGTTTTGTGTAACGATGTTTTCTTTCAAAATTCTTTATATGGAATGTATAAAGTAGGTTAATGTGATGTTACTCAGGTGAAACGTCTCGATTATTTCTCGATTACAGACGATTCCGTTCGGAGCATTCCGTACGTTCTAGTCATATACCGTGTAGGTACATGTATGTGATAGAGTAGCTCGATGCTGTGCTGCGAACAATCACAAATTAGTGTGTTAATACGTGTTGTGTTCCGTTGTCCCTCCCTCCCCTGATACGCCACGTACCGTACAGACACGTCGATGTCCTAGGTAGATAATGAATGTGACTGTAGTTTTATATGGATGATCCTTTATAGCCGTTACGTTTGTCTCAACACCGTCGTAAGTCCGAGCAATTGTTTACTCTTGTTACCGCTTTGATAAATGTGAAATAAAAATATAATCATTGTCACTATACTATCGCTTCTAGGTGACTATTTTTCATTCGAAATCGAGCATACATAGTTATATAAACATGTAAGCTTAAGACTCGTTAGTCTTTGTAAATATTTTACTTCGTTTGGTACTTACATGGGTTACAGAAAATTAAAAAAAAATAGCTTTCTCCTGTTAAAAGTCCAGTCACAGCAGCTTACACACGACTGTAGACATATTCGGCTAACCTAGAGAGTATCCAGATAATAATTTAGCGTATAATAAACGTAGCTATAAGAACAAAAAAAGTATTAACCAAAATTTAGACATGCTGTGTGTTAGGTAATATTTCTTGAAATTATAACAATATTGTCGTCGAGATTATTCATTAATTACGTTTCAGTTTGTACAGCACAACGCCAAATGTTGCAAAATTATTTTTCCTTCGCGTATCGGTTCGTGTTTGGCGATGTGCTTTATTTAACACGAGACGCTATTATTGTGTAAGGATCTTTACAGAATACTATGTCCAAGTTTATTACTTCTTCACCGAAATTGATATTTGTGTATAACTATTGTTCAATAGGTGTGTCTATTGTAACGGATGAACGAGATCTCAAGTTGAATGACATGATCGTTAATACCTTTCTTTTCTAGTCATTTTATTTTGTATTTACATTCCAAAGTTTGTATATTACTCGTTTCCTTTATTTCGAAATAATAGGGTAATGTATTTTGCATAGCAAAATGGTGTAGTAGTGTAAAGGAATAGAGAGCAGGAACGTACCCACGGGTGTGTCGAGGCGGCTGTAACACTTTAATTTAAAGCTTTTTTATTACGTTGACGTTTCGTTTGCTATTTCGCGTTTTAGTTGTTATCGTAATTGTATGGAAACAAGACATTTTAAATTAGAGATATGTACAGCAGACGCTGGATTATATTTTTTTATAGAGTATACTGTTTAAGCTATACTGCTATTTTTATAGGACTAGCTGTTGTTTTGATTACGTTTGTTTGTTTATCGACTAATTTATTTGGTATGCGTCGTTGTGCCGCGGCGGCGCGCGCGTCGCTGTGACGGCACTACCGGTGCGCACGCGCCGCCCTTGTGATTACGATAGTGATTGTTGATTGTTGGGCGAGAATGTATTGAGAACAAATTATATATTCTATATATAATTTATGAATTTCATTCAATTTATGAAAATAAGAACAATGTAATGATTGGTAATATTACTCATTGCTCTAAATGTACTATCAAAATATATTATACACAGTGTTAAAGGTCATAAATAAAATGCTTTGAAAATTTCCAAATCGTTGTTTTCTTTATCTACTTATCAGCCTATTACCCTATACATCAGTACCAATTTACTTAAAGCTGTAATTACAGAATAGTTAAATTCTGCGTGACCAAAACTACTACGATACTACTGGTTGTAGAAAACTTGGGTATCGTGAATCACCGAGCGAGAGATGTTTACAAATTCCCGAGATTGGAAGAGAGAGAGAGATGGGGAAAATCGATATTTTAAGTAAGACATAACGAGCTGCCACGTTGTTCAAGTAGTCGCTAGTCTGCTGAACAAGAGGTCTTGGGTTATTCCCGGTTAAAGTATTGTTATTTATTGAGATTTTCGAAAATTCCTTGTAGTACGTCGTACGTAAAACGTCGCCCTATCAATTATATAAAAAAAGTAGCACAGTATCTAGATCGTGTCTGATAATATAGTCATCAGCAAACCTCTCTGTAACTTTGCTTAAGAACAATATAGAATCATGATACTCTTTATACTCTTTGATCATGACAATACTACTTTAGATTTGGATATACGAATCCTCTAGAATTTATAAAAGTTTTTAAAGAAATCAAGATCAAATCAACTGTCATCAGTTGTCTTTGGGGACTATCGGTAAAAGTTTGCAAGTCAATCATTCAAGCTGTAGCGCCGTATCTGGCTGTGATTTTCAATAAACGTATAGATAACGATGTTTTCCCTGACCTAATGAAATATAGTAAAGTTATCCCACTATTTAAAAGTGGAGACACTAAAGAACCAAAAGTGTTTGAAAAGTTAATGCTGTCTCAAATGGTCCATCATTTTAAAAGACGCCACAAGTTATTGTCTTTATCATCGTAAACTCCAGCAGTATCCCTTGTGCTCGCAAGAGGATGACACCGAAAAAATTCTAACACTTCCTCTTCGAGTTCTGATTTGAATTTCGTCGAATTATAGAGCACCTTATATACGTACAATATTGGAATATGCCTCGAATGTCCTCCTCGATCACTTTCGAGAGCTGCTCGAAATCTATCGAGGGTCCTCGATCACTTTCGAGAGTTCCTCGAAATCTATCGAGCGTCCTCGATCACTTTCGAGCGTCCTCGAAATCTATCGAGCGTCCTCGATCACTTTCGAGCGTACTCGACTACTTTCGAGAGT